ATAATAAGACAAAATAAAATATCCAAAAAGAACAAAGTTAGAGGCTTACAAGATTCAGGTATTGTAGATTATACCCGACTACCCTTGTTGTGATAAGATTGTTAGAGTTCTTTCTTTGGTGCACAGTAAATGCATTGTAGAGAATTATTATAGCGTGGGGGGCTGTCACAACACATGAAATTTCAATCGTCATAAATTCAGATAATAGAAGGAATTATTAGGACTTGGCTTTGCTCCACTAAGCAAACGCGCCTCCACAGCTCCGCTGAATTTTGAGAGAAATCTAGACCGTCCATATAAATGTAGATAGTCCAGATTTAATGTTTTAACTATTTGATGACCCGCGCGTTGCACAGGATGTTATTTTAAGTGTTAAATAACGGTAATCAATATATATTAAGTAATTATATGAGTAAAACAATAAAAAGAAATAACTTCTTGATGAATAAATAATATGTAATAACCCAAACAAAGAAAAAGATAGGGGAATAACATGATCATAAATAAATTTTAAAGACGGAAATAAAGTGGATGCAACAATTTGTTACACAAAATAAAGATAGATAAAAATTAAAAAATATATAAAAATACAAGACCTCAAGGAATGGGTGGTTGCCATATGTAAGTTAGATTATTAAAAATCTCTTTATACACTATTCCTATAGTCTTTTTTATATGATACTTCCAACATATTTCACTAAAACTAAAAAAAATTTTAAAATGTATTAACTCTATCTAGAAATTTAATAATTTCTCAACTTTGTTCATATTAAATATATATACTTTAATAATATATTTTCTCTTGTCAATATTCAATGAAGGTCAAATGATAAAATTTGCGATAAAAATTTAATGAAGTGACTTATAAATAGAACAAAAAAAAATCTTCTGTCTCTACCTTTTAAATAAGATCAGAGGGAGTACATTAAAAGTAACATTTGTGAATTTACCATCTATACCAATAATTAACATCTTCAACCATTGCATACTTCACACACAAGATACAACAACATATAGTTGGCTATGTGTAAAAACAGGTATTAGTAAGTATAACACAAAACTAAGTATGCTTTGACCCTGACTTTTGTTTATAGTTATAGCAAAGGACAATAAAACATGAAATTGTCTTTTATGAAGGGTAGATGAAAGTTCAAAGTCAGATTATGTGCTCATTTGTATAAGATTTAAAAAATAAATAATTTTTAGATAGTTCAGAGATTTTATAAAAGAGATTAATTTTGTAGGTATTTTATAAAAAGAAGATTATTTTATGTTTGGTTAAGATTATAAAAAAAGTGATTATTAATTTGTTATTTTTAAAATTTTATGATATCTTTGTTCATTTTTATTTTATAAAAATTATTTATTATTTAATTATTTTAAAAATTTATTATATCTTTGTATATCCAGCATTTTTAATGATATTTTTTCAAATTCTGGTAATTTTCACAAGTATAAATAACATGATAAAAACTTTTAAATTCTTTTAAATTATCATTCTCAACCAAACCTTAACTTCCAACATCAAGAAAATGCAAGAGGAAAGTAGATTTAGGTTTGAAAAGCTTACCTTTAATGTTTATGAGCTACAACTTACTCTCAATATTCAAATTCTACTTGCCCTAATAGAGCATTATCGTCTCTCCTTTACTTCTCCTTTTGTTTCTTCTCTTTTTTTGCTTCATTTTGCAATCTTACTTTGCAAAAAAGTGACCATATGCAGGAAGTCCTCCCCAGACATATCAGCACACATGCACTACAGTGACCCATCCACAAGCCGCAATGCGTGGCATAGAATCTTACTCTTCAAATTTTCTTCCTCTTCTAGGTGACCCAACTTTACTTTGAACCCACATTTCAGGTTGAAATTATAACCAAACACGGCCATTAGACCTCTTTGGCCACACATCTCACAAATAAACTTAATTACTCTAATCAGGCTTAAATAATCAGATTAAAAATTTGAGGATGTTATGCATGTTCTCTAATTGTGCCCATAATTCTTGCAAGATGAACATTGAAGGCTTGGGTTTGTCTTATGAATCTTATTAGGTTGTGATGGCTCATCTATTGCTCTCTTCCTTTCTTTTGGTGATCTTCCTGGTCTTTTTGTGATAGGATGGAGGATATCTTCTCTTTACCAGTAGCTTCCCACAATTCTCATCCATTAATTGCTTTGACAGTAGGCGAGTAACAATCAATATAAGCATCTATCTTCAAGTAATTGTGAACATAATCATGAGGGTTTTCTCGCTTTACATAAATACCACTCAATGCATGTCAAAGATTGCAAATCAATGATGAATTAGTGAAACATACAATATTGATAAATCAACAATGCATAAATTGACATAGTTGCATACCTACAAGGTATACCAATCAAGTCTCACCATCTACATGTACATTTCTTTGCAAGAAGATCAACCACAAGTTTATGTGAGTAATAGGACACTTCAAATTCAAATTCCCTAAATCATCTTGCAACCTACTTTCATGATTCAATAACTTTCTTTATCCAACCTCCTTCTTGGATTAGGACATACACTTCTACGAGCTCTAAATTTCTTTCTTTTTTATTTTTTGTTCAAATGAAATCTTGTCATCATGTATGTCCATATCCATTCTAACAATCCAATGATTGGAAGTTCCCTAGTCTCTATCAAATGTCCATTAAAAGACTATGATATGTTATTCATAATCATGCCACACTTTGGATATTCCCTTGCTTAGCAATATTAGCCAATCACATTTGGATTATATTTCACATGCCTATTAGTCACTGCACCATCATCATCTACAGATTTAATTGAATGTGTTTTACGATTAGAAGAAAGTGAAACTTCAACTTCATTTTCTAATAAAGCCAAATCAGTCACATTATCAAATGCTTCTTCATCATTATTAAAACCGTCAAAGCTAAAAGTATTGTCTTCAGTGCTTGAATCCAAAAACATATTCACCCTGTTTGAAGTATCCATGTACAAATGCCTTTATATATAAACTACATCAAAGAAAAAAGTTGTAAACGCATCCTATTATAATTAATTGACACTATTAAAGCACGCAAGTGACTAAATCGTACTGTACATTATGCTTGTAGGGGACCACTAGTAGTTTGCCAAAGTTTATTTAATGGTGGGCCACAAGTAAATATCGTGTGAAGAAGAATACAACCCAAAAGCAAACAAAAAGCTCTACACTGTGGCCCATAATGCCTGTGAAGAAAACAAGAAACACTTGCTAATAATGAAGTTTGGTTCTGAGGGTACCGTCTCGACTTTTTGAAAGTTCTTTACGCATCTTCCACAGGTATAGGCGTCTTCCACTTAACTAGCGATTCACTATGGCTGAAGCTATTGTCATGCGATTCTGGCTGCAGTAAGCGATTCACGATCTCGACCTCCAACTCCGTCTCACCATCGTCGTGGGTTCTCCGTGGTTCAGCTTATAGGCTTCGATGGCAGCAGTTAGGTTTTTCAGATTAGGTTTCCTATTTGGTATTTTCATTTTTTAGTCAGTTGCCATTTTGGATGAGGTTGTGCTAGTTTGGATGCCACGTAAACAAAAGTTAACAGAGTTAACCAGCAAGCATAATCTACTATATGACCCCCTAAAAGGAAGGATGAATTTTTTTAAACAAATCAAAGTTAAGAGATTAAGTCACACTTGAATAGAATAAAAAATTAGAAGATTAAATAATTAATTTTTTTTAAATAAATGGTTATGAATTGTTTCATGTAAGTCAGAAAAGAATTTTTAACAACAATTTACTAGTTTAATAATTAATAAGTTATCAATATACATAATTAATAATTAGGAAAATTTTTCCAAAATAATAATATCTAAACCTAAAGGAAAATACAGAAAAATATGAAATAAATAATAAATCTTCTAAAAATAAGCCACAACAGCTAGTTTCCTAAAGGGAAAATTTAAAATTAATTATTTAATACTACATGGTGGAGTTAGTAAATAATAGATATTCAATGATAATAGTGACATCTTTTAATTTTGACTGTTATTAAGCTCTGTATTATAATTTTAAAAAAATATACTTGCAAGTCCTTTTAAAAAAAAAATTAAAAGGAATGCTATACAATATATAAGTTATTTTGGTTTACTAACTATCATTATAGTTTCACTCAATTTTAATTTATTATAAAAGCTCAATTAAAATAAAATAAATTATAAAAACTTAATTTAAAATTGAGTAACATAGCGACGACTGCAAATATGTTTTCCCTTATAATTTTAAAAGAAATGCTACAATGTATAGGTTATTTTGTTTGTTTGTTTTTTTTTTTTTTTGGGTAAGATAAAGGTGGGATTGAAGCAATGTATACAGTGGCCAAGACCTGTACTCGCGGTATGCCTCAATTTTTAAATTAAAGATATCCTCCTTTCGTAAACAACATATAATTAGTTAAATAAATGTAAGGGACAAACATGTCATTTGCAATTATTTTGGTTGATTGCTTCCTTTTTATTCGTACCAATCATTGCTGGCGAAAAAAAAAATTGGGCAAAAAACAAACGTCACAATGGAAAAAAAAAAAAAAGAAAAAAGGATCTTTACTTGCATGTCTTAGGCTTCATTTTTAAATTAAAGTACCTCTTTAATTTATTCTATTTTCTTTTTCTATCATCATTATAACATAATTAACTTATATTTACATTTATTTGTCATGAATAAATTACTCAAGGGGATCAATTTTGTTGGCAAAAAAATATTATCCACTCTTGACATCGTTCAGCGTTCAATCTCTCTTAAAAGAGAAATGCAAACGATCAACCACCACCATAACCTACCTTATCAACCTAGATTCCTCGTGAAAAACATGGCCAGCTCCTAAATATTTTAGTTGAGTAAGCCCTTAAAATTGCCAATGCATGAAATTTCACCCTAAAAAAAATAATCAGAGAACCTGAATCATAATAATACTTTTTACTAATAATTGGAAAAAAACAAAAGGAAAAGAAGAAGAATCACAACAAGCTGATAACCTCAAAAAGTGAATAGTTTCCATTTCAAGACAAAAATAATAGAATAATATGGTTAACCAAACCCCAGGGAACCGCCCCTAGTACACGCTTCTGGTATATAAACTGACGTTTTCATCATTCACATAAAGATTCAGATAGGTATATCCTTTCTATGTATGAAACATCATCAACTCACCGATTCAAAATTTTGCAGAGAAAGTGAGGGGGAAAAAACACAAACAGCTAGAAAACTCCTTTTACTTGGTGATCATTTCACTGTCAAGATCTTGATAACAGATGCAGTGCCGACTCGGTGCAGGGCAACGACAGCATCGCGATTCTTGCAAAGACCCTTCTTCTTGGCATGCTGAATGGCAAACTCAATAGCTTCTCCTGTTGTCTCATCATGAGAAGCTCTAGCAGATGCTGCACTTAATATTGGAACTAACCCACGGAAGATTAGGCTGTGCCTTGCAGGGGCCTCATCACTGCAAGACCAATCGAAAGTATCAGTCTTGATCTCAGGAACAACTACAGAAAGAATTGGCATGCCTGGCCTGTATTTGGCCACTAGTTTTGCAGTACTTCCTCCTCTAGTTAAAACCAATATAAGAGCTGCTTTAGCTGAGTTGGCAGTCTTGACAGCAGAAGATGCTAGACTCTCTAATGGGCTCATCGGTACTGGAGAATGTTCCATAATCCTTTTAAATACATCTCCATAATCTAGGGTGCTTTCAGCTTCGATACATATTTTGGCCATAGTCCGAACTGCAAGTTCGGGATATGCTCCAGCAGCTGTTTCACCACTTAGCATCACACAATCTGTGCCATCAAGTACTGCATTGGCAACATCAGTAGCTTCAGCTCTAGTTGGACGGGGAGATTTAATCATTGACTCCAACATTTGGGTTGCAGTCACAACTGGTTTTCCTTGAATGTTGCACTTATAAATCATGACTTTTTGAGCGAGAAATATCTTCTCAATTGGAATTTCCATTCCAAGATCACCACGTGCAACCATGAATGCATCTGTATTTGCAAGGATGTCGTCAAAATTTGCAACCCCTTCTTGGTTTTCAACCTGCCAAGTGCATGTTGATATATCAATGGCTATAAAAATAACAAAAAGTTGATTGAACACAAACTGAACATATATATCAAAAATCACAATTACACACAGATCATGGTAACATGTTTGTCAATAGAATCCCTTGAGATAAGGAAATAAAGCATCATTAAGAAAATTAAAGCACAGTGAATTCAGAGTTAAATAAGGAAAGATTTCACAGATGCCATAAGCCGAAGCTATATGTTCGGCTTCAATATTACTTCTAGCAACCACCATTTGCTTCTCCAAATAACTAAGTTGCCTCAAACATATGAACATTAGCCTAAAGTTTATCTCTAGCAATGACAGATTTTGTCCAATCAACATCACAATACAATTCAATTTTTCACCCTTGCGAAAGAAGATTCCCTTCACTGGAGCCATTTTTAGCTATCAAGATCCTGTATGTAGCAGCAAGATGAGCCTCAGAAGATTTAGTCAAAAAACAAAATGATGGCACATGGAATGTCAAATCTTGAATGAGTCAAGTATGAGCTGCCTACAAGCTTTCGGTATCTTTCAATATCAACAACAGCATATTTAACTTTATAGTCGGCTTTCATATGATTAAGTACCCACATTCTAAAGCATTCCAAGTTTTTCATGGAGATCAAGGGCATTCTACCTTTCAGATATAAGGATCCCTTTTTTTGACTTGACTACCTCCAATCCAAGGAAGTAATTCAAAATTCTGAAGTCCTTTATTCAAATTCCTTGATGAGAGCTTGTAGAGTTCTTCCTTGAAAGAAAGGCCAAACTAAGTCTGCTTGCTTGGACAAGAGGACCTTGACTTCAGCGAAAAAAACAAGGCTCTAAGTAGTCAACCTCACATGTTTAAGTGCAGACTTTTGCAACTAATCTCACTTCATGTCTATTAACCCTCCCATCAAAATTATATCTTTTATTAATGTTGAAAATTGTACCCTACGGCCAATCATTGTATTATGCACATTGTTATTTAATGAATTTCTCTTTTGTTATCATAACAATTGCAAGTTCAATATGATAACTATATCTCTGCACAAATTATAATGATTGTATTAAATGTCCCCAATTGGTTATCTTTGAGGGATCATAAATGAGACAAGACTAATATGATTTTGATTAATTATAGAGATACAAATTAAAGTCATAGGCACTTGAAAGAGTGCAAAGTGCTGGACCGACCAGCTATGAGAAAGCTGCATGGTACAAGTCATAAGCCTATCTCATATGTAATTATATCCCTAAGCCCTTTGACTTGAGATTATCATGGACTCCTACATGATAACCATTGAACTTTGACCTAATCAAAAGTCACTTTTGACCGGGTAACCATAAAGGCTATGATTGGGTGTAATAATATTCATGCAGAGGAATATGAGTGCTCAAGGTGAAATTTGTCCCTCACATTAAGTGAGATATTACTGAGCCCCTCAATAAGTAAAACCGAGAAAATGTATGCCATACTACAATGGAAAAGGTTTTTCCATCGCTACTGTCAGTTTACTTAGAGATCGAGAAAGTAACGGTCACGTAAAGGAGAATCACAATTCCATGTCTCATACTTGACTAAAATATCGCGTGATAAAAGAGATGTAATATGATTGCATGATAGGTTACATTAGATCATCAATCCCCATGTAAATTAGGTAGTTGCAATGCGTGATTAGCCCATTAACAATTTCATATAGGTCTACAGGATCACACACAAGAACAGCCCAACTCGATTTATAATATCCAAGTTCGTTGAATCTGAAATATGTCTAGATTCAATTAATGTAATATAGGATGAACGAATTTTATATATATATATATATTTGAATAATTATTTGATAGATATTTATATATATATTTATATGAAATACAAAATTCAAAATATAATTTTATGTGTTATATATCAGATATATATATATATATATTATCTATATTTATTTTATGTATCATATACATATGTATGTATATGATATTTAATATGTATATGATACATAAAATTAAATATAGATAATATATAGATATATATATATATTATACATAAAATTAAATATAGATAATATAATATATATATATATTTTTTCAAAATATATGTGTATATATATATTCGTATATAATATGATATGTATATGTGATATATATTATATTATATTATCTTATGTTAGTTTTAAATTCAATTTTATATGATTGATTAAATTTAATAACTAACATGATAAGAGAGAATATTATGTCAGTTTTATAATTTAAATTTATAAGATAAATTCGAAATAGAGATGATATTATGGATTAAATAAGATAAATTTAATTAAATTTTCGTGAACATTTAAGTGAGAAACAAAAAACCCTTATCTATATACTATATATAAATAGGGACGTCCTAATGAAGGCAAAGAGAGAGTTAGAAAAGTTCTAACGGCAAAAACACTAAAACCCACGAAACAACCTATAGAAAGGAAAATTAACGTTCAAAGAAGAACGGACGCTGAGATTGCCAGTTTTATTATAAAACTGACATAATATTATAAAACTGACATAATATTAACGATCAAATTGCAGTAAGGATTTTCGTTTGCAATTGTTTGAATGAATGTTTGTAACTTAATTTTCAAAAAAAATTGTCAAAAACCTAACTGTCATAAATTTCTTATTATAGGACTTTATTGTCATTCTCCCTAACTTTGCCTATGTTTATAGTCAGTCCCAAGCCCGGGTAAAGGAGGAGGGTTGTGTTAGGCCATCAACAGCCAATGTAAAACTTTGTTGAATCTATCATGAACATGGACAATAGACGTTATAATGTTAATGCTAGGTCGTTGCCCGTAAGTAACGCGCTGCATGGCTCGAGTACAGTGATAAGTGAGTTAGAGCCGCTGCATCGGCACCCGGATGTAGTGTTAAACTAGCAAGGGCTACCGCGTCATTCTGGACGCAAGCGGCTAAAGAAGTTAGTCCATAAGAGCAAAATTAGATTCGGTACTTGGAATGTTGGGACATTAAATTGTAAATCTGTAGAGGTTGTAGGGGTTATGATTCAAAGGAAAATCAATATCCTTTGCCTGCAAGAAACAAAATGGCATGGAGAAGAAGCTAAGGATATTCAAGGTTTCAAACTTTGATATACAGGAAAAGTAAGTGCACGCAATGGAGTAGGCATCATTATAGATAAAGAGTGAAAGAAGAACGTTGTAGAAGTTAGCAGAATTGGAGATAGAATTATTTCCTTAAAAATGATAATTGGACGTGAGACTTTTAATATTGTTAGCGCTTATGCGCCGCAAGTCGGGACAGAAGCCAATCTTAAGGAATTATTTTGGGAGGATCTGGAGGGGTTGATTCGACACATACCACAGAGTGAAAAGATTTTTATTGGAGGAGACTTTAATGGGCATGTCGGGAGGGAAGTTGGTTAGTATGCGAGGGTGCATGGTGGTTTTGGTTTTAGAGGGCTAAATAATGAAGGACATACTCTTCTTGATCTCTCATTGGCATATGATTTTAAGATTGCCAACACTTGTTTCAAGAAGAGAAATGATCATCTCATCACTTATAAAAGTGTAGCCTCAAGGTCACAGATTGATTTTCTTTTGGTTAAGAACACAGATAGAAGACTTTGTAAAAATTGCAAGGTGATCCCCGGAGATGCTGTAACGACACAACATAGGATCCTAGTCCTTGATGTGTGTATTTTGAGTAAAATCCAAAAACGTCGACAAGTAGTAGCACCAAAGATTAGGTGGTGGCAATTAAAAGGTGAGAAGCAAGATATTTTCAAGCGAAATCTTTTGGATAAACGAATTTAGGAATCTCAGGGAAGTGCTAACATCATATGGGAGGATATGGCTAAAAAGATACGGGAGGTTGCAAAAGTAGTTTTGGGAGAATCGAAAGGTTCTGGTCCGAGAGATAGGGAGTCTTGGTGGTGGAATAATAGTGTACCGGACAAAATCAAATATAAGAATAACTGTTTTAAAGCCATACATTTGTGTAACAATGAGGAAAATTAAGAAAGGTACCGTATGGCTAAGAAAGAAACTAAGAGAGCTGTTGGTGAAGCTCGTTCTAAAACTTTTGAAGAATTTTATAAGAACCTTGAGACGAAGGAAGGAGAGCAAAATATTTATAAGATTGCCAAGAGTAGGGAAAGAAAATCAAGAGATCTAAAACAGGTAAGGTGTATTAAAGATGAAGAGGGAAGAATTTTAGTTACAGATGATGAAATTAAAAATAGATGGGAGACTTACTTTTCTAAACTTTTCAATGATGGAGAAGATTCATCCAGTAACTTGGAGGATTTAATAACTGGTGAAGGAGAACAAAATTTGTCATTCTATCGAATAATACGTGATAAGGAGGTAAAGGAAGTTCTTAAAAAAATGCAAATGGTAGAGCCAATGGACCTGATTGTATATCTATCGAAGCGTGAAAATGTTTAGGTGAAGAAGGGGTGAGATGGTTAACTAAGTTATTTAATGTGATTTTATGGTTCAAGAAAATGCCTGATGAGTGGAGGAAAAGTACATTAATTCCTATTTATAAAAATAAAGAAGATATTCAGAATTGTACTAACTATAGAGGGATTAAACTCATGAGTCACACAATGAAATTGTGGAAGAAAGTAATTGAGCACAAGTTGAGATTGGAGACAAGTATTTTTGAGAATCAATTTGGTTTTATGCCAGGTAGATCAACTACAGAGGCAATTTATCTACTAAGGGGATTAATGAAAAAGTATCGTTTTAAAGATAAAGATCTACACATGATTTTTATTGATTTGGAAAAAGCTTATGACCATATACCAAGAGAAGTGCTTTGGAAAGTGTGCGAAAAAAAGGGAGTACGGATTGCTTATATTAAAGCCATACAAGATATGCATGAGGGAGTAAAAACTAGTATAAGAACGCCTAGTGGTCAAACAAAGGATTTTCCTATAAAGATTGGATTACATCAGGGATCATCTCTGAGTCTTTATTTGTTCAACTTAATTTTAAATGTTTTGACGAAACATATTCAAGAGGAAATCCCGAAATGTATGCTCTTCGCGGATGATATAGTTCTTATAGCAGAGACAAGAGAAGAGGTTAATTGCAAACTTGAGTTATGAAGGAGGACATTAGAGTCGAAAGGTTTTCGTCTGAGTAGAAGTAAGACGGAATATTTATATTGTAAATTTGGTAAAGGACTATTCGACAATAATTTGGAAGTGAAATTGGGAGATCAAATTATACCTCAAGTGGAAAAGTTTAGATATTTGAAAGCCATTATTCAAAATGATGGCGAAATCAATGGAGATATTTCACATAATTCAAGCTGGGTGGTTTAATTGGAGAAAAGCTAAAGGAGTTATTTGTGACCGTAAGGTGCCTAATAAACTTAAAGGAAAGTTTTATCGCACTACTATCAGACCGGCAATGTTATATAATAGTGAATGTTGGGCTCTAACGGGACAGCAAAAGCATAAAGTTGGAGTAGCAGAGATGAGAATATTACGATGGATGTGCGGACATACACGTAAAGATAAAATTCGAGATGAGCACGTACGCGAAAAAGTGAGGGTGGCACCTATTGAGGAAAAAATGGTAGAAAATCAGTTGAGATGGTTTGGGCATATACAAAGAAGACCAAGGGAGGCACCAGTGAGAAGAGTGGAACATATAACTTTGAGTCCGATTAAGAGAGGTAGAGGAAGGCTAAGAGAACACTCTTGGAAGTTGTTAAACGCGATCTCTTAGTTAATAATATTCCTAAAAGCTTTATAAATGATAGAGCACAATGACGTCTTGCAATCCATGTAGCCGACCCCACCTAGTGGGATAAAGGCTTGTTGTTGTTGTTGTATTGTCATTCTCCCTATCATAAGATACCAATTTGCCAATAGAAACTTAGTGCAAGGTTTGCTTGAGGATGTAGAAATATCAAGACAATCATCCTCATAGACCCTTATTTCAAACTAGAAAAAGGGAATGGGTAAGCCTCTACCTCAGGTGATTTTCTTCCTAGAATGTGCAACTATGTCCTATTAGGTAGTAGACCAAAAATTAGTCTCCCATCTAGTAGCATTCACAAGTTCATAATCAAAAAGAACAAGTGAGTGATGGACCTAATTGCCGACAAGGACAAATTTTGGACTACAACCAAATTGGGAAGGGTTCCTGAATGCAAATAAAAAAAATGTTATCAATGTTTCCCACCCAAAAATGGAAATGGAAAAACTAGAAAAACTTGAATGCTTATTCTCATCTACTTAAAATCTTGTTTCCAAATCAATTCAAGGCATGTAATTTATTTACATTATTTACTCCATAAAAAGCTCTTGTTATTAATATTATTAACACTTTAAAATCCACTTGTTCTAATTTGATAGGATAAAAATATATTAAGTATATAAGACTAAATACTTAAATATTCTACAGTGGAAATTTTTGGAGAATAGGGTTTTATTTTATAAAATGGCATAATCCATGATACAGAATTTTGGCAAAGTGGCAGAGAGAAATACCAGTCATTCTAGAAAAGTATTGAGTAACCCAAAAGCTTGTTACTGTTAAGCAAGTGGGCAGGGGTGGTACACCCAAACCAAGAAAACAGAGGTATGGGGCAAAACTTGCAGAAAGGTGGGGCAAAGTGCTTGAAAGTTTAGGGCTTCTTTGATCATGCTTTCTGTTTTTATGTTCTCGAATCAATTTTGTAGAATGGTCTTTTAGAACAAGTTTTCAAAACAAAATGAAAAAAATCTGTTTGAATCATTATTTTGAATAACATATCCAAACTGATAAAATAAAGGGGTAAAGAATAATTAATTTTATTGGCACAAGTGTCATTAATGAAAGCATGATATTTTCTACCTTTTTTCTAGTTTTGCAGAACTAAATGTAACAAAACATCTAAAAGATGTTCTGGTTTTTTTAATTCTGCAGAGCAACTTTTAACCTTTTTGTTTTCCAGAACAGATAACAGAAAACACATTTTTGAACAGGTATTTTAATTTTTTTCCCTAAGAACAAAAACCTGTTATGAAAACAGGTTGCCAAACAGGCCCTTGGTTTTTTTTTTTTTTTAATGAGTATTCTATTTGTGAGATATGAAGAGGTTAAGACAACTTCCCTCACACAATGTTTAGGCACATTCATGGTATAGACCAGCCACTAGGTATATTCAATCACTACGTCCTAGATACCTAGCCCTGAAAATACATGGCTATCACAAGAATAATCAGCAACAGAGTTGTTATCCTCAATTACTTTACTGATTGAGAGCAAATCACATACAAGAATACGAATTTAATAGATTCAAAAAAGGGACAGCAATTACAAGTGTCTTTGCCTTGACCACTCAAGGCAATAGTCACTCTAAGGCCCACCACCTTGTGCAAAGCTCATTATCAGTCACAGCAGGACCTGTGAAAGAAAGTGCAACAGTTTCTGTTAGGGTATGGCTATGGACCATTCCTTGCATAAGCTTCTTTTAGGCTCCCTCTTTTCTCACCTTAGAGTTTCATTGAGCCAACGTAGAAATGTTATGGCCAATGCTCAACCAAGAACATCATATTTGTTACTAACAACACCCAGGAAAAAAATTGATAGGTCTTCTTTGAACTATCTTGCAATTGGTGGTAAATTAAGCAATGCTCTCCTATGTAACATTTTCTAGAGAGTCAAGTTGTTACCAATATCTAGTAAAAGTATACAATAATTGGTTTGCTAACATGGCACCTTGCTTCAGGTCATGAATGAGGCTCTCAATGTCATAGCTCTCTGTTTCACTTCCCTGTGTAGAGTGACTCCAAAATAGTTGCTTTGAAGAGGAGGTAATTTCCCCCAATTTATGTGGTCAAAGAGTTCATAAGCCATGAAACCACTAGATTATTATTAGCATTCCTATGCTTCAAATGTAAGATCATCATGTGTTCAATTGTTAGCATTCCTATGCTTCATCACAGACTAATTCCACAAGATGTAGTTTAACACATAGAGCTTATGGTTAGTGATGATCACTGGTGAAGGCTTGACAACTCCTAGATTGGGCTGAGCATGCCCTTGGAATGTTGCAATGCCATGGCTGGAGTTGACTCCACTCTCTCACTCATACTGGATAAAAAGTTGAACCAGTACTTGAGCATACAGGTAGATTGGCTTTGTAGCCATAATACCATGAAGAAAGAGTGACAAGATTGAGGTAACTGAATAATTTTACATATCCAAAAGGAAATGTGAATTCCATTTATATACGGATCATGGCAACATTTTGCCAGTAGAATCTCCCAGGACAAGATAATAAAGCACAAGACAAATAAGGCAAAATAAATATTGTATATGACAGCGAAGAAACAGATCTAGAACTAGCAAAGAAAGAAACCAGCGATTCTAATACTTAAGAGATAGAATCGCAATCAAGGAATAATGGCTAGTTACCAAGAAGAAAGAACATTTCAAATTACAGATGGCATCCAGAAGCACAGATGTGTGACTGCATTAGGCAGATCAATGCTCCATTCTCCAAAATAACGATTTAGGGCATGTTTTGATGGGCAATAATAGAGGGAAAGGAAAGAGAAGGGGTTTCAACAGAACGCTTTTGATATTTTATAAGGATGGGGTAGATTTTTTTTTTTTTTTAACAAATGAAAAACTGTTAAAATCACAAAGGTGGGTAGCGTTTTCAACTAACCTCAACATACTCCAAAAACTCTCCCTGCTTTATACTTTAAAGTTCTCAAGGCTCAAGGAATTCTGGAGGAAAAAGATTTGCCAAACAGCAGGAAAGAAAATTACCACTAAACCCTTTCATTCCTTTCTCAACAGCCTAACATACGCTTAAAGAGAACAAAATGGGGGAAATATGAACAGGGTGACAACATACCTTGGACATGAGAAGAATGTTCTTTGAATGTTTTCCTAGTAGTTTCCGAACCTCCACCAAGTCTGAACCTTTTCGAACAAAAGAAAGGGCAATCATATCAATTTTGTTGGGAACTCCCCATGCCAAGATATCTTCCTTGTCTTTCTCTGTCAATGTAGGGAGATCAACTATCACTCCAGGCAGATTAACATTCTTTCTCTCACCAAGAACTGCAGCATTCTCACAACGGCATCGAACTAAGCCCAAATTTTTGTCACATGATAAGACTGTAAATGAGATTGTTCCATCTGAGCATAACACCACACTGCCTGGCTTCAAATCCTCAGCCAACTTTTTGTAGCTCATGCAGATCATATTCTCATCACCTTTTATGCTATAGTCAGTTGATATGGTTATTTCCTGACCTTGTTTCAATTGAATAGGCTTACCATCCTTTAGAAATCCAGTTCGAATCTCTGGGCCCTACAACATCAGAGAGAACGACAATTGAGAAATGCCATAGACTGACAAGTTTCCCTTCATGCATAAAAAAGTTAGACATGCGCATCGACACATCTCCTTTGAAACTAAGTATGCAATTGGCATAACATGTTTGCTATTACATGAAGACAGAAGTACTAAAAATGAAAAGAAAGAACTTAGGGCCTGCCTGATTCTGTTCTCAATTTTCACATTCTTAAAACAATTCTGTAAAGTAATTTTTTAAACAAGTCTTGGAAACAAAAAATGCAACCAAAAAAAAAATGATTGAATCATTATTCTAAAATACATAGCTAAAGTGGTGAAATGATGGGTGAAATAATTATTCACTTTATCATATGTCATAGATGAAAAGATAATTTTTTTTTGGTTGGATAACAAAACATGATATTTAAACCTTTTAAACCATGACAGAGTGTTCAAGGTATCAAAAATATCGATAATAGTTTATCTACCTGCTCTTAACAATTTTTTGGACTCAGCTCTGACAAGTGTTTTAGTATAAGGCGAGATGACATCGCAAAAATAGGTAAAACTGAATAGAAAAAATAAAAGTAACTAACTCAGCAGTTACAATTACAGATAATGAACAGGGGGTAAGTATAGATGAAGATGATAAACAAGTTTTCATCCAATAAAAAAATAAAATTAAAAAAATTGGTAAACAAGTACTGAGAATGGGGCTGAAATACCTTGGTATCGAGCATGACGGCACACAGAATACCGGTGCTTTCCATAGCTGCCCTAAGGTTATCGAGAGTTTCCTGGTGATATTCATGTGATCCATGAGAGAAATTGAAGCGAGCAACGTTCATGCCTGCACGCAGAAGCTTCTCGATCATAGGGACCGACCTGGATGCCGGTCCAAGTGTACAAACGATCTTCGTCTTAGGCTTCTTCTCTATCGCAACCTCTCCATTCTCGTAGAGAGCCATCTTCGATTGTCAATGAAATGACGCTGAATAAGAACAAATAATTGATATTTGATGGTCAGCTATAATATTTATCATTCAAGTTCTTACAATTGTCATAATCATATCCATCCATCCAATCCAATTAATTTTTAATATTTAAATCCATATATCTATATATTATATTAAGCAAACGTTATCTTTAACTTAAGCACAAAACATGAAATTGCATATGAAATGTCAGGACTTGATTTGTAAAAAAAAAAAAAAAATCCTTAAAACGCTTATAAAAGTGTTTCAAAATTATTTCTCATCCATTACAAACAAATCATTAATATCTAAAATTGAACAAACTTAGAATGTCATATATTTAAATTTAAAATACAAAATAGAGGAGCACTTGGGTAGAGTAGAGTTTTTTTTTTTTTTTGGGTTATTTCCTTAACATATACAAGAGAATACTACCTGATGGCTACTGAAAAACCAGCAAAGCGCACACAAATAGAATCTTATATATACAATCATACACTCACAATTTATATATGTCCTGGTACAGTATATGATTAATATGTCATCTACTTTTTTAAAAAAATCATATTTATGTTATTTTTTTCTACCAGTTATGTTTTTGCCACATTTTGTCAAAATTTCTCCATGAGAACATTATACTGAAGAGGAAGAGGACTTCCCACGGCGTGATTTTTTTTTTTTTTTTTTTTTGGGCCGCAAGTCGCAAGGTGATTTACGCTTTAGATTGATGGCACCTAGCACTAAGGTTTGAAGTATAGTTCTCAGCCAGTAAAGAAAAAACCAAAGATTAAAAAAATTCCAAAACAAAAAAATGTTGAAAAACGGGTGTGCCCAGGCGTAGCTCCCGCCGGCCTGCCCGGCCCATGGCCCCCGTTGGACAAGAAAAAGCGCGACAGGAAAGGACTCGCCCTTTTTCAAGGGCAAGTTTTTTTCTTCAGATACTGAAATTTGAAGAAACCTACCTCTCTTAGAAGGGAAATACGGGAATCCAAATTAATTCTGCCTGGGATCAAATTCGTATGAAAACCAGGGAACCAAGCCTTCAATAGAAAGAACAAATTAGAATGAAATGGATTATTGAAGAACCAAAGCAATCAGAACAATGGTTTCCGACCCAAGAATTTCATTTTAATGGATATTGAAAACTAGGTAACCAAGCCTTCAAGAAAAAGAACAAATTAAAATGAAATGGATTGTTGAAGAACCAAAACAATCAGAACAATAGCTTCCAATCCAAGCTTTTTTTTCATTTAACAGATCAATCACCCAAAAGACTTCAGCTCTCCATATATTCACAAGATTCCAGACAAAATCAGAGCACAGCACAACAAAGGATCAAAAAAAAAATTAAAGCCTCTAATGACTGGCATGAAAAACCAGAAGATCTCAAAAACAGAAGGAGGAAGAATAAATACCTCAGCCAAAAAAGAAGAACCAAGCGATGAGCAGATCAGAGAAGAGAAGGGGAAAAAGATGAGACCTCACGACGAAGAAATGGAGAAGGCAACGTCACGACGATTGCGTGGAGAAGACTGGCAAGGAGGAACGGAGAAGAGGAGCGGCGTCGACCGGCTAGCGGCGGCGTAATAGCGAGAGCGAATGGCCGGGCGAGGCCGAGGGCGAGAGGAGGCTACAAAGCGACGAGGTCATGCCCTGAGGGAAATTTAAAGTGGAAATAACTGTAAATAAAACCAAGAGACCGATTTTATTTGGAAAAAATACGATGAAGTGCCCGGGAATATTAGGATAACAACTAGAGATCCCAAAATTTTAAAATTAAATTTAAAGACTATAGTCTTTTATTTATAATTTTAAAAATAAGTTTTTTTACTAAATACCCCCTTTCAAAAATGAAAAATCAACAGCCTTTCCTGAACAATTTATCAGTTCTCCATGACGTCAGCTTCACCAGAATTGGTCCCAAAACAAAAACAAAAAACAAAAAAATCTCCAGAAAATCATATCCAAATAGCATCAATGAATTTTTCAAATTCCAGTTTCAATTGTTGAAAGAAAATTTTACTTACAAAACTTTTCCAGATTTACAAGTGATTTTAGAAAAAATATCAACCAAGAACCACTGTAATTTATTTATATAAGTTAAAAATTAATAGATTTTAAAATTTTAATGCAGTTACTTAGTCCTTACTAATATTAATTTTTACATTAAATAATCAAATTACTTTTAAAATAAAAAATAATAAAAAAGTCACCCACACTATCACCAACATTGAAATGTTGATACACTTTTATTTTTTTAATCTAACTTAGACATTGGGGCACGATATGGTTTAAGTAGCATTTTTTGGTAAAATCGATACTAAATATTAGTGATTTTGGTGAAAATTGTTACTATTGTCACATTTATATAAGTCTTCACCTCCCTCATTTTTCCACTTTTGGCAAACAAATTCTCTCACCTATGCTTTTAAAAATCTCTTGTGTGCCCCCGTTGAAAATGTTTCCAAAGATGCGTTCTCGCCACCTACTAGTGTTCAACTTGGACAGCATATTCAATGATAATGACCCAAAGGAGTAGCCATAGCAAGAGGATGTTAAGGGTGATTCAAAAGCTGAAAACCTTGAGGAATTTTTGGGCAAGAGATGTCTGAGTCTCATAGGACCAATAGCTAGACCAACATGTAGAAGAAAAGCTATAGGGTTATGATGCAAGTTAAGTATTTATTTAAATTTATTTATTTTAATTTTTTAATTAATTATTTAATTTAAATATTTTTAAAGCCCAATGGCAATACCTATGAGAGGATATTACAGGAGTGAGATCGTTGGATCTTGCCTGAAAGTCTTTGCATGCTGATGAGGTGAAACTTAGCTAGGCAGCCTGTAACCCTCCCCCATATTCTCTAGATATAGAAGAAGATTAATAGAATTACCACTCTAATACACCAATCAGTAATCAAAGAATTTAGTTTGAAAAGCTATAGCCAAAGATTTGCTTTGCAAAATTACCAAAATCATGATGTAGTCATAGCAACATGCAACGGAAATAAATTATATACATTCATCTCACCAATTACATGCATTAAAAACTAGGAAATCAAGTTGAAATATAAGTCATGCACTGTGGCGTGCAATACGTGCGCTGCAACATGTGGCACAAAGCCACATGCCCAACTTTCTGTGCCATGCGCCATAGCATGTGACACCATGCACCATGATGTGCTTGTCCAAATTGTTGCTGTCATTTTGACAGTAAAATGACGAACTTCCAACGTGCGTTGTTTCCACATATGACATTCGATCGGAGTGATTTAAGTGCCCACACAAAGCTTATCTCATAAGCTAGCTAATGAGATAGGTTTAGACATGATCTAATGATCCGATTAAAATTTAGACACTCAAGTGCAAAATCATTTTTTTAAAAAATTTTGTGCATCTAAGCGCTCAAATCATTCCCTTTCTCTTATTAACCACACAAGGCCTTGATCAAGTTCAAAAGGACCTAATACACCTGATTGACCATAATATATCACAATTTTACACAAATATCAAAATTTAATCCTTCAACAGCCAACTTTCACATTTCTCAACCTTCTATAAAACAACACTTTGACACATCTAGGCCTTCTTAGCCATTTTTCTCAACCATTCATATAGAATCACATCCATAACATTCGCAATACAATTTTAGCCCAAATTACTCATTTCATTATAATTTCACATATGGCCTTAAGATTCACCAACATTTTCCACATTTTCCACACAACCTCACACAAATCTTAGCCCTTAATTCATTTCACCACATATATACATAATTGGGCTAAGATTCCATGAAATCACTACTCAAATCATGCATGCAATCCTATGGTAACTCATATACACAAAATTCATACTAGTTCAGTTCATTACACAAACTTTGAGTTCACACGGCTTCAACAATTCAAGCCAGCCCATACTCTTTTCCCCTGCCTTGATCATTGCTTTGTCTTGTAAAAATGTAACCATAGGAGTAAGATAAAAATCTCAGTAATAGAATAAATCATTTCTATTAACTATCACATGCAACTATATAAAAGTAAAGCGTAATATACCATTAATCATTTCATAATCAAATGTCTCATTTCAAATATCATTCATATCAAATAATTCATTACTCTTTCACTTATTACACCACTTTTCTCCACTTTCACAACATATAGCAACATATTGCATTACATAGCATGATCACTACCGACCAAACCTCCAAATTACCTCGACACGAAATCATAGGCTTGCCATAGACTAGTGTACACTCTTATTGGTCTTGAGCTCATCTTTAGTGGTAACATCACCTGGTCAAAGGTCTCACTTTCGAACTATAGTTTTCCTTAATACACATAATGGGGTGTCATTGATTCCAACACTGTATTACACAAATACTAGCGAGTCCCATATCTCTAACACCACACCTCAATAGACACTAAGGAGATCTTCTCCAACACTGTACCTCAAAAGGCACTAAGGAGGTATAATTCTCTAACACCGCACTATGTCAAGCACTAAGGAGAATATGTCATATGGTCTTATCACCACCTCTCTACTCGAGTGCACTAATCCTACATGTGCTATGGGGAGTATAAGAGCTAAAGACTCACTTCTCCAGTGCCTTCCCTTAATTCCTACTCAGGCCTTCACTTGGAAAATGCTAAAGAAAGGGTGAGTATTAACATCTTAGTAACCCAAAATTTAACCATACATGCACAAACTACAATTATACAACCAATATCAATAATCCCTCTTGTTACTCTGTCCACCCTTATTTTGTTGACTAGAACCATAGGCTTAAATATGGTTTGGCCTACATGCTGAACTGACCAAGCTTTTCTAATGCCCTAGATATACTCGACTAAAGATACAAAGCCCAAGTCTAAACTATGGCTCCCCTTTCTAAAGAACCCAACCAGGAGGTGTCACTGTCCCACATTCCCCCTTTACAAACTTAGCCAAGTAAGTATTGAGGAATGAGGCTCCAAAAAGGCAAACCATTGTGCGTCTAGTAGAGAGGCAAATCACATGGTTATTGAATCATTTATGCTTTAACATCATCATCTCCTCATCAACCCACCCCCAATGCATATCGCATATATACAACATTTACATCATGTATGAGCAGGCTCAGAAAGAAATAGAAATGTCTTATTCAATCAACTCAATGTACAAGCATGCTTGAAAGAAATAAATCACTCTTAAATAATGCATACAATTTCCATCAAATAAAATTTATTTATTTGCATTCACAAGTGTAACACTTGCCCTGAGTGTTATCTAAAAATCACACAATTCAAACAAACTAAGTGTGATTAAGGAGTTGATCCTAAAACTAACTTAGGAAACAAATCATTTAAATCAATAAACAAATACACCATCACAAAATAAACATTTAAAGCCTTTAGAAAAATTTATAGGTTCTAACTATAGTGCATGGAAGTAAGCTAGATGAAAGTGGGATAAAAAGATGTTGTCATGACAGCATTAAATTGCTGCCATGATAGCCTTCCCAAGCCAACTTTCGAGAAGTGCTGTTTCGCCATTCGACCTTCGATCAAAGTGATTTTAAAGCTCACACATCATTTTTAATGATTACTAATAGTGTACCAAATTACAAAATAATCTAATAGTTGGATTAGAATCTGGACACTCTATAAGATTGGAAAAAGTTGCTATCATGTTGACACTTCTAAATCAACTTTCAAAGTGCACAATTTCATTATCTGACCTCCGATCAAAGCAATTCTAGAGCCCACATGTCACTTTTAAAGGGTACTATTAGGATACAAAATTTTGAAAAGATCTAATGGATGGATTGAAAGTCATGCATGATACAAATTGAGCCACTTTGCTGTTATGACAGCATTAAATAACTGTCATGACAACACCTCCGGACCAACTTTTGGAGTGCACTATTTCTCTGTATGATGTTCGATTGAAGTGATTCCAAATCTCACATGAAGATTATAAAATTTTTTACTTTTGACCCAAATTTCAGGAAAATTCAACGGTCAGATTGAAATTTGAACACCCAAATGCAAAAGTGCAGTTTTTTAGTAAAAACCATTTTTCAAATTGTCCAAATCTCATCCTAATAATCACAAACCTGTAGGAATACTTCGGACATATCAAATAGGACTAAGAGTACCTGATAGTACATTTAAATGATGAAAAAACCCCTTATATCAAAATTTAACCACTAAGGTGCCATTTTCCAAAATGGATCCCATGCCCCCAAAATTTACAAATCACACAAGAGTGGCCAAAAACCATTCCAAATATCATATACACATATGAATACTCACGCTAAACATTTTCACTTGACTCAGAGATCTCCGTGGGGCCCACACACCCACTCTTTCTATCCAAGGTATATGTTTGCCTATAGCACACTATTTGCAATGCAACTGCTTTGCATTTGCTTGTAGAATCACATATATACCAAAATAAATATTTGCTTGTAGTGAAAACTTGGTCTACTAAATAAATTCATCAAAACCACACACCATAACCAAGTTTCCCAGCCACAACCCTATAAGCAAGCAAAAATTCATACACAAGCCATACAATCCACACATATTCACACACATATATATATACATAATTACATCATACTAGCACCCTAATCCTAAATACATTACAATAGATTTACTTAAAAGAAAGGGGTTGC